TATGATGCTCAGTTGTGTTGTAAAAGAAACACAGGCAGCTCCACAACAGTTGCACTGTGTGAACCTAAACTTTTTCTGACCCAATTACCTTAGTTGATCTGTTCTGACTCCTCTGGCCTGTACTGTTACTGGAGCTACACTGCCATTTGTATCTCTTCCAAGATTCCTCATGAACATTTCATGCAAGGTGTCTCATAAATTATGAGAGCTCCTCCAGCTGACATTATGAGGAAAAAAATGGCAAAGCCTGCCTTCTCTTCTCCGGCTCTTATCGTAAAACAAAGGCTAGCTCAAACCAGGAGGAGAGGCTTTCCCGACAGCCGAGAGTCCTGAGCGGAGTACAGTATGCCCATAAGACTCTCCCTGCTAATTTCCAACGACTATCTCTCCACCATCTGATAATAACATTACAAAATAATTTATGCCACCGCTCGGGAATCTCTCTGGAAAATCACTGTATAAATATTGATTGGATATCAAAATTTCACTCCTTTTTTTTTAAAAAATTCTATACAGTGGAAAACTGAAACAGTCTGGGATCACATGAAGGAATTCTCAACTTGTCACTTTGGTGTTAAAAGGAGGAATAAAAACAGATTCTCTGCAGCAGAATGAACTACACTGCATAAGTATCATCATCACTAATTGTAAATAATGCAAAGCATCTCATCCTTTCAATTATTCAGCTTTACGTCCTGGTTTTGGTTGACAGAAATGTAGTGATGACAAAATATTGTAAGTTCCTCTGATGCACAAATGCCAAGGCATCTGTACCGCAAGCTGAGTAGCTGTGTCTTATTAGATTTCCACAAACACAGTACACCTACGCACAACCTAAGTGGATTAAATATGACGGATGATGACATTTGGAGAAAAGGCTCTTTCAGATTACTCAAATCTAATCTGGAACTCTAAATCAGGACTAATCAGTTGCTTTTCAAAGAAGCTTCAATCATAGGGGAATTTCTGGCTTGCAAACTGGGTTTCTCACAAGAAAAGCCGTTCTTTTATAGTGCATCATTTTCAGGTTTTTTACAGTTTGAGGAGCATTTGTATGTGAGAATAGCTGCTTTTCATGTGCCGGTTTTCTTTTTTTTTGTACAGGAAGTCTTCAAAGACTCGTCTGGTGTAATTGCTGGACTGCCGTTGTTGTAAAGGAGCATAATAATGTTGTGTAACTTATAAGCTACAGATGGAGCTCAATTGAGTCGAATGAAAAGTTTCCTTGTGACATCACAGAGCCGGAGTCTAACGTTAATTCAATTCAATTAACCCCCTCTGGACCAATGAAAACTTACTATAGCCGTTTCAGATTAGAAGCTCATCAAAGACATTAGTGGCACCAATAAAACTTTGCTATAGGAAGACAATGATCCAGTCCAGTAGTGCGCTAGAGATCGCAGCCCCACTTTGATTAATCTTGTTAATTACTAGCCTTAGGGTTTCAACAACTGCTGGCCCTCTTTCCCCGTGTACCCCGCCAAAACAGAAGAGGCTCGTAGCGCCATCAGCTTCTTTGTAATTACAAAAGTCTCATGCTCTGGGACTGATTTTTCCCACAGAATTGGATATAAAGTAACAGACACGGCAGGCTAAAGTCAATTTTAACATTACTGCGGCGACTATATGTACATTATTCAGCGGGGGAGGAAGGAGGCTCTGTGGATTTGCAGAGCAGCATGTGCCTGCGCTTGAACTCTCTCCTAATGAGTCCCTGCAGTCACCTCAGTCGTGGGCTCCTGCTCTCATCCTCTTTCTATCTCTCAGTTAATTCAGCTGTCGCCTAGTTTAACCACAAGATGACCCTCCTCCCTCCCCTCGCCTCGCCTCGCCTCGCCTCGCCTCCACTCCACTCCACTCCACTCCACTCCACTCCAGCGACAGTCAGCCGCTGTCAGCTGGGGCACGCACGCGCTATCCCTAACTTGCTCTGGCTACCTCAGCTCACATATGACCCATTTCTCAACTCGCTTGTCCTTGTTTTACCAGCCTTCAGCCAGTCAGCCTTATAGTTGGCAAATTAGTGTGCAACCGCATGCATGGTATAGCAGTACACAGAGTTCATGCCAGGTCTGCAACACATACACATTCACACAAAATTTAGGCCAACAAGGCTTTGAGGGCCATTCCTCTGTAAAATGACTACACTTTGCTTAAGCCAGCAGATCCATTTGACCTATGTCTAATGTGAACCAATTAAGGTCTTTACATCAGTGCGCACCAACGTGAGGCCGAATATCCCTTAATACCAGTTAAATACACGTCCCTGTAGCTATAATACACCTACACATGCTATCATGGTGTGCTGTGTGATTATGTGCTGATATAAAGCCTGCTCCAGAGTCCCATTGAATGTATTGAGTGAGGTATCTAATGGGCATGGGAACTAATTCCAGGGCAAAGGGGATTAAAGGCTCGAGAACAGAGAGCAGCAGAGGGATGGCACTCGCTGGCAGCAGAGGGTACAGAGGGCGGAAAAATAGAAATGAAATATAAATGCACAGAATCCTTGTCGTTTGAATCCTATTTTGCGAAATAGTATTAAAATCGGTATTTTGTTTAATCCTGGCACTTGTATTTTTTATTCTTTTTTTTTTCAAAACGAGAACAAAATTAAATATCAAGCGTTTCAGAGGAAAAAAAAATTGAAATAATATAAAATTAAATTAAAAAAAAAAAAAATACAGCTGGACAGTGAAAGAAGAGTTTCATCAAAATCAGGACGTTTCATCTGTATCTCTCCTGCTCGTTAGTTGTGCCTTATCCTCCGATCGCACTGATATAGTTTTGAGACTCTACCTTGAGGACTGCTTCCCAGACTGGTAGATACTCTGCAGTGTCAACACCACAGAAATAAGGGGATGAGAAGTACCAATAATTACCAGTTTATCCTTGTCTGTATCTCACACACCTGCACCGCACTCAATAGCCTTGAGCCATTTTCCAAAAACACTGTTCTTGTGAAACAAAACTAACTTTGTGGGTCAGTGGGTAGGCTAATCTAGGAAACCTTAAGCCAGTTTCAGTCTATTAACCCACTATCCCACATTGTTTTGTTCAGCCTTTACCGCCGCAAATGTGGCAGCTTCGTTTTAATAGTACAACCTGTGGTTCAGGAGAAATTCAAGCGTAATTGAGGAGTCTGTTTGTTTTTTCTATTTTAGTGTTTTCACAAAAATGTCACAGCGAAAAGCGACAGAGTGAGCGCTCCCCGTGAGATCACACTACCTGCGCTAATGTTTCCTGAACGACTTTTGCGATGTATCAAAAAGGATGTTTTTGTGTGTGTGTGTGTGTGTGTGTCTGCAAAGCTTTCCCAGTGTCAGTGTCACATGTGAATCAAACAGTGAGTCACAGGCTTATTTTAGCCACTTTGCTACTCTCACCTACGAACGCTATATTGTGAAGAGACTGTTGCCGTGTGAGAGACACTGACAGCTGAGTATGTAGGGATCATTAATAGCACGAATTATTATTATACAGCTGTGTTCAAACACCAGCACCAGGATTCATGGAGTACATGAAACCACAACATGCACAGGGGGAGTCATCCTGTTAGAATCAGAAAAACTAGAACATGAAGAGGCTGGTGCGCAGAGAAATCAGGTAAAGCAGACATGTAACAAGCAGCAGCCCGTAATGATCATTGCTCCTGTATTCACCTTGAAAAATATCTCTAAATGTAGTATATATATATAATTGACAATAATGAGTCTAGTGGCCGTATGTGAAGATTAGGAGTAATGTGATTTGTCCTTGGTTGTCGCACGGTCCAATGCACGAAAAAGTGTTTGCTTTACCGCTCTTTCTTAAACCTCTTTAAGGCCCAGGTAGCCATCATCGCATTTGCAAGGCAAGAGGTTATAATACACACGCTCTTCTTCAGGACAGCTGTCAGAAAAGTGATGAGACGGTCCTGCCTCGTTAGCTGGTCAGCATGCTAACTTCGGCGGAGGCAAAACAAGAGTTAACACTGTGGTGTTGCTTTCCACCGCTGGAGAAGAGATCTTGGCGTCTAAAGGAATAAAGTTTGACACTGAACTCGCAGTAAACAGCTGTTAATGCTAACGTTGGCTATGTAGCGATAGCAAAACTTGCTAAATAATGAAATATTTTGACAATGCTTCATGCTCCGTCAATATGAAAACAATGATGCTGTCTCTTTTTAACTGGCCCATAATCTAACATTGTTTTATTCCTGTTTATCTGTGGCTAGCTAGCTAAACAAGTGTTAGCTTGTTTGGCTAGTTAAGCTTGTTTATGTTGCAATACTGAAAGTATATAATATCAAGACTTGTAGGCTTAGGAATTAAAAACCCCATTTTGTGTCAATTTATTTTTATTGTGGTTGGCAATTTTTCTCACTGACTAATTGCCAAAGGTCTTAGTGGTTGTATTTGTCAGATAAACCCTTATTTTATGGATGTTTTGAAGCTAAATTTGCCTTACTCACTAGAAATGATTCTTGTGACTAATGCGCAATAAAATAAGATGTAAAAAAACTAGCTGTCATTTCCTTCCCACATAAATCTTAAAATGAAAAGCTTGTGTGTGAGTAAGTCATGATAATAGGTGCGTTTCCATTTACCTGTTTAATTCAAATTTGAAATTGTGAACTTAAAAACAAATAATGAAAACATGCTTTGTTTTCTCGATGTTTTTCAGACTATTCGAACACTCGGAAACGATATCGCAAGAGGAGGAACCCCAGCTTTATCTGCATAACGTAACTCAATCACACACCATTCACCATTGTGTTTAAATAAAAAAAAGAAAAGAAAAAGCTTCTATTTTGCACGAAACTGCAACAGAAACCCGGGTAGTGTGACACGATACCATGACCCTGAAACCACAGCAGCTAAATGTTGAGTTGATTTAATGTTAATGCCATCACAACACTGACAGTAGAGGGACAGAGAAGCACCATACTGATATTGCGACGTCCTTTTTCACCATAATAAATGGAATCCAGTGCGAGTGAGATGAGCTGTCTTCCTTACCAAAATATTCCTCAGATGGAGGGTTGTCCATGTCAAACAGCATCTTCTTGGTGAGACGCTCCAGCTCATCCTCAGGGTGGGCCATCGGAGCGCTGCCCTGAGAACCAGAGAAGAGACATGGTTGTGATTCACAAAGCTGACCTAACATATTAAAGAATATTCCAGCACACACTCCTTTGCATTCATTTCCAACGTGACCCGTCGACGTCGACCTGTGCTCAATGCAACACAGCCGCTGCTAAAGATGAAAAGATGAAAAGCACAAGAATGTATTGCTTAACAAAATACAGATTTGACTTAAATATTCAGTGAACCTGACTTCAGTAAATCAGGGTGAGGTACTGTCTCAAGGTCAAACAAAACACATTTACTGTAATTAACATGCAGCGGATAGTCTTCAGTCTGCCTTTCTCCTCTGAGATATCTGACCCTGGCTCAGGCCCCAGTGGTGTGCAGCCCAGAAGGTTGTGCATATCCTTCTGTGCAATTCAAGCATGTGGACAAAACTGTGACCCTGACTAATCCTTGTGTTTGGAAAAATAATGATAACGGAGAGAAAAGAGGAGGCAAACATTAGAAGAAAGCTACCGTTTAAAGACTTGCACATTTGGGTGATAGGTCAGGAGATAGTTATTTAGACATACTCTGAGCATGAAAGACGGAAAGTGTGAGCCATGTTGAGGCCTATTGTGTAGGAAGATTCAGAGGGATGACATAACTCTCTGAAGATGCCACTTCCTTCCTTTTACTTGTGAGCCTGCCCTCCCTCTTATCCCGCAGTCTCTGACATCTGCCTGCTGTGTGTCTGTATGGGGCTGACGTGTTGTGCCTGACATTTTCTGCCAATCATTCCCGGAGCTGCAGAATACAGCTACCTCACCCCCCTCCCTCCTTCCTTCCCTCCCTCCCTACCTCCCTCCTTCCCTGAGCCCCAGCTCACGGCGCAATCCCGTCACAGGTGTGCGTGTCCTTTGCAGACACCCCGGAGGCCTGAACTTGACTCTACTGGTGCCGCACGGCCGTGCCTTTTTCAAAAAATCAGTGACACTCGCATGACCTTCCCTAGATCTGGGGGCGGCGGGATCTTTACAGTAGATTTGATTTTCAATATTGAAACACGGGCCATGATCTGAGCTGACCTTTGAGGTGCTCCTAATTGTGACGTCTGGGAGCCGGGTGAATGTTAGCAGCCTGTCTGGTTTTGTACCGATTTATCCGAGGTTTACTGTGTCACATAAAGGAATCAGATTTGTCAATAAGAGATTGAGTGAGAAATATTTTTGCATTCAGAATGAGAGCAGTTACAGATCCTGTCGGACAGCTCTTCTGGTATTACTAATGACTGGAATATTCATCCAGCAGGCTCATTGTATGTGTCAGTGAAGGTTTCAACATTATATATAAAGCAGGTGTAATTTTGACAACACATTAAAAGTTGATAATGCAAATGCACAGCACATTTGGAGTGAGAACATTCACCGGTCGACTGGGTTTATTTCCAGAGACAGCGAGAAATGCTGAGCTCTGCTTACTGTCCACAATGTATCAAGGAAAAGTCTAAACTTTACGATGCATGACTCCTGCTCGGCCCCGGCTCAGGATGCAGCAGGCTGATAATGGAAGCCCAAACAATAGGCCTCATTAACTCTGAGGGATCGACACGTTCAACGCGCAAATCTTCCTGCCATGTCGGATTCCCTGGATTCCCTGGCACCCCCGCGCCTCCTCAGCCACTCGAGCATGAACGGCCAGGATCGCATCATGGAGGATTAGGAGGAGATGAAAGGAACATTCCTCAGTGGTTGGATATTCCTCTATTGCCACCTCAAATGATATGACTTTTTTTTTTTTTTTAAATAATTACACAGTGCACGTCAATGACGGTGTGTGTGTGTGTGTGTGTGTGCGTGCAGAGGGTTGAATTCTAATACAACAACCTGCACAAAAGAAAAGATAATAAGTCTGCGCAATGTTCGTACACCTCAAAGAAACACTCTTGTTGTCAACATTGTGCTCATTATGCCCGTGTTGTTAGTTTGAGACAGTGAAGAGGACGATTTAACACTGTTAATCTTAGCTCCACATCAAAAGCACATTGGAGAGGGAACGAAATGCTGCTATTACCAGAAACAGACTTTTGAGTTTAAGCTTCATTTATACCTTATCCACTCTTTGACACCCCGCAGCAATGCACTGCCAGAGAGTTTAAAGCACCTTGTTAGGGAGTCTTTTGTGACAGCACAGAATAATTTTTCACTTGAATAAGAGAAAGAAATTGCTTCCCTGCATGCTTTATGATTGCTTCGCAGTTCCTGTTCAGCTTTTCAGAGGCAACAATAGAAACCATACAGCAGCTATACGTGCTGCAGACATGATTTTTCAGTTATGTCTGGCTCAATTCAGTAAATTGCTTGCCTACGCCCTCGGGACACTCAGCCACGGTTTCATTGAAGTCGGTGCTTAAATTCAGTGGCGACTGGGTTAACAGTTGCACCCATTTTCCTTGTTTCCCCAGTATGTTGAGGCTCGTAGTTTCAGGTCATCTGATCTGTGCTGTTTAATGGCAGAGATCCTATCGGTTGTGAAGGATCCCGGTGGACCGTCAAATGCCATCGCCCGGACAAATGATTGCCGTGGCGTTGTTAAAGGCCAGACCACTTGAAAATGAAAAGCAACAACAACATCTGCAAGTGACCACTGGTGCATGCTACCTGACACACAATGACAGTGAAGGGTGAGCAGAGTCTGGGATCTGATCACTGCCCGACTGCCACATCTATGAATCAAGCTGTGTGTGCCACCCACCGTGGGATTGGCATTGTGTCAGAACTGATTAAGTGAGGAGCGGAGGGTGGGGGTGGGCAGAGGGGCCTCGGCACACGCTCTCACCTGATGCCCTGACAGCACCGTGTCCCGCTAGGAACCAAACCTCAGGCTCCGTCTTTCCCTCTTCCACCGCAGCGATAGAGAGTGAGCGGGAGAGACAACTGTTCTCGGGGCATCTGATCTGCACCTTTGTTAGCGCAGGTGGAACAAAGGAGCGCAAGTGAACAGGAAGCTGGAACTATTTGCATATCATCACCCACCATGTACAGAACAAAGGGAGCTCACAGGTTCTGCAGGAGGAATCGCAGCGAGACACGACACGGGTCAGCTAACATGAGAAGGACGTTGTGTCTGGATCCAGAAATACAGACGGAAACACTTCTGAAAGCTGAAATTAAAATGTCCTTTTTTGCTAAGAAAGCCGTGCTCACACTCGGTTATCAGTTTACCAGCTAAAGCTAACCCGTCTGAAACTCATGCACTCTGCTAACACCGCAGTATAATGTGTCATTTACATAAACGACTCTCAGTATAAAGCAGGACAGTTCGACAGCACATTACAACCTCCATAAGGGTTTGGACTGAATTAGCTTTAGCTAGGTGTACCTAATAAACTGGCACTGAGTGTATAATATCCCTTCATGTTTCTTTTGATTTGTTTTCCTTATTTGGTTTAAAACGAGCAAAAATAATCAATTTCAAAGTTTATTTTTCTTCAATAATGGCGCCACATGCATTCATTTACACCAGTGGGCGTTCATTTATTTGGTTCCACCTGATGATGTTGGTGCTGCAGTGTATATTTGTGTAACATCAGTGTGTCATTGCACTTAAACTAGTTCTAGTTCTGATATTATATTATACTGGTCACACTGGGAGTTCAGCAGCTGGGCGGCTTCGTTGTTGATTCGTCTCATTTGTAATTTGAACACTCTGTGACTCATGTTCGCATGTTTTCCTCTGTGCCGATACTAGTTTCTCTCACAAACCAGCTCCACAACAGAAGAAGCTATAAGACGAAGTTAAACGACTTCTTGTGCTGCTGTATAAAGACGTCTGCACCGTTCAGTCCTCTTGAATAAACAATGATGTCAGATTGTTTTTCAAAAAAAGACGGACGTTCTTATCTGAATACACGAGAGAGGCCGCACAACACACTGATGAGAAAGACTCTGGTGAGTTTCTGAGTGTGGTCACAACGTCGATGAAATTTTGAAAGAAATTTTCCTTTTTTTTTTTTGGAACAGAACTTGGAAGTTCCAGTTTCCTCCGGCTCTCTGTGGGTTTGAGTTACAGCGATGAGTCACTGACGAGCTTCCACTTTCTGAATGGAATACAGACCAAACAGCGCCATGGCTCCTCCATTGATAAATGTTGAATGTTATAAAGGGACATTTTTTGATATAACAAATGCTGTACTGTTGAGAAAAGGGGTAAACTTCGTGCTGTTTTCATCCTCCTCTGAAAAACGGACAGTGCAGTTTCATCATGGTTTCTACTTCCTTGCACAAAAAGTGAGGAGACTTCAAATTTCATTGTAACTTTTGAAGAATCATGAGCCGTATCCTCATATTTAGGCCAGGACTCTTTTTTTTTGTTGTTGCAAGGTTCAAAAGCAACGTGCAAACACAATGAGATTGGGAACCACTGCACAAACAACACAAACCACTGAGCTGAAAGTAAAAGCACTGTGGAGGGAGCCCGGTGAAAGACGAGCGCTAAACAACACTAATCTGTGCTTCTAAACCTGCAGTCATCTATCTATCAGTCAGCTTCTGTTTTACTTCCTCTAAATGCAAAATTACACCTTACCCCAAAAGCAATTGTCTCGCTTTTTACGATAGCTTAGCATTTCCTGCACCATCAGCACAAACTGAAGAAAGACATAATCACTCACAGACATATTTATCCACAGATTAACTGATGATGGACTTCACAATACAAAATGCTCTTTAGTGTCAATAGAGCCGCAGCTTTAACTCGGGCTTTTAAAAGAGAAGCTTTAGTCAGCTCACAATCTGACGTCCTGGCTTTTTTGTCTCCTCAAATCACAATGGTATTATTTGAAATGGACATAGAGCCTTTCAAAGGGAAATGGCTTATTAGAAATAATGTCAATAATAACCACAACAAGAGCAAATGGACCACTGCATTAGTTAGGGTGCACGAGGGGATTGAAATGTTTTATTGGATTGGAAAATCTAAAAAAAAAAAAAAGCATTTGTTGCCACAACACTAAACGAGTGATTACTGCAGCTTAGGCGACTCCGT